CTTCAGTCTAGTTGTGAAGGATGTCGCTTCACTGGCCCATGTTGGTATTATCATTGCGCTCTTCCCGGGTGAGGCAGTCGCTCGCCGGCCATTAGACGACTGCTCACGGGGGCTCACGACCGCTCATGCCAGCTGCCGGCCAGCCTCACTGCAGCCTACGCCTTCGCTGGCAACTCATGGGCAGCCCAGCTCCAGGTCGAGCTGTTGTTCAGCATCTTAGCTGTAGAGGTCGCAGCGTCACTGGCCCTCATGTGGTATCTGAACCGGGGCCCTGCTGCTCAGAGCTGGCGTCCTAAGCCAACTCCTAACCAACGCGCCACTCGGCCGGCCCCACACCTTTTCTCTTGAAGGCGTTGTCCTGGAAGTTGCATATGGCACATCTGTCTATGTGTCATTAGCTGTGATGTGGTCATACGGCCATGCTGAGTTACAGGGAAGCTGAGACATGCAGTCAATAGGCTAGAATTTAGGCCACGTGCCCAACTAAAAAAGGTTAGGTTCTATGATAGAAGAAAAAAAATGGATGTTAGGGAAGAAAAGTATGGTGAGCAGCTGGTCAATGGGAAGATCGTCGTGACTCTGGCCACTTTACCGACCATGTGACCTGGGGCAGGTCCTTGAGCTCTCAGAGCCTCTGTTCTTATATCTAAAATGGTGGAATGTGCCTTCTTGGGAGAAAAGCTGATGTGCCTGCCTGAGACAGAGCAGAGGGGTCCTGCAGTCGGGGGTGGAGGGATCTGTCGCTGCCCAACCATCCACCTTCCTTCAGGCCCATGAGGACTCGGAGAAGCTTCGAGAGATCGTGCTGCCCATGGAGCAGGAGATAGAGGAGCTGAAGACGAAACTGCTGAGAGCGGAGGAGCTGATTCAAGAGATCCAGGTGAGGGGAGGCTGGGGGCCACCAAGGGAAGGAGGGAAGGGCGCTGCAGGACCCTGGCCCCCCAGCCTCTTCCCTGCCCCCCTTCCCTAGAGACGTCCCTGGCACCCCCCTTCCCTGCACGGCTCCGCAGAGTTGCTGCCTCCATCCCGGGACTCGTCTCCCCCACTGGAGCCTCCAGAGGAGCTGAGCGGAGACGGGGGTGCCGCGGCCGAGGCGTTCGCCCACAACTGTGACGACAGCGCCTCCATCTCCTCCTTCTCCCTTGGCGGGGCCGGCAGCAGCGCCTCCCTGCCCCGCAGCCGCCACGGCCTGAGCCCCGAGCAGGAAGAAACCGCCTCTCTGGTGTCCACGGGCACCCTGGTTCCTGAGGGCATCTACCTGCCCCCTCCTGGTTACCAGCTTGTTCCTGACACCCAGTGGGAGCAGCTGCAGGTGGAGGTGAGTGCGGTGGGTGGAGCCAGTCTGTACACAGGCACCCATGTTTCCCTTCACCAGAGACCACTGAGCACCAGCTATGTCCCCACCCTGCGCGCGAGCTGGGATCCCACAGTGATGAGAAAACTCCTTCTTTCTTGGCGCTTCCTTCTTGGGAGGGAGCCAGACCTACACATGCACATGGGCACATGGGGAAGTTGGTGTCCCAGGGTGAGATGCCCAGAAAAAACAAATAGGGTCATGGGGTAGAGACTGGCAGTTGCCAGAGATTCACCTAGAGAGTGACAAAGGGGCATTCTTCAAAGATTGGGGCAGAAGGAACTTCATGTTCAAAGTCCCTGGGTCCGACAGACCATGGTGTGTTTTATGGCATAGGAAGGCCATGGAGAGGAGGAGAGATGAGCTCAGAAAAGAAGTAGGGTCTGTGGGAGGCCGCCAGCCCCAGTGCCATGGACTTGGCATCTCAGAGGGAGCAGTGGGAAGGCTCTGAAGGGTTTAAGCCAGGGAGAGGCCTGCTTGCTTTTGGCTTTTAACAGACCTCTTGGGCCTCTGGGTAGGAATGGACTGTCGTAGGGGGAGGGACAGCAGGAGAAGTGGGTGGCTGGCGGGAGATGCTGACATCGTTTAGAAGAAGGTAGTGAGGGCCAAGAGATGGCAGCAGAGATGGAGACAAGTGGGTAGATTTGGAATCCACTTTGGAAGCCGACTGGCAGGGCCATCTAGAAGGTGGGACGTGGGGAGTGGAGGAAAGAGAAGAGTCGGCACCATTTCCTGGGCCTTTGGCGCCAACACCTCCAACCTGAGGTGCCAAAGGCAAGGCAGAGAGGCATGGTGAGAAGGGCGTCCTACCCTGGAGGGTGACACTGAGCCTGGGGTCTGGCAGGGGCGGCAGCTGCAGAAGGACCTGGAGAGCATCAGCCGCGAGCGGGATGAGCTGCAAGAGGGCCTGAGACGAAGCAACGAGGACTGCGCCAAGCAGGTGGGTCCAGCCTCTGCCCCAGCCCCGGCAGGGCCTCTGGCCGCCTGCCTCCTCCTGTTCCCCGACTTCACCCTTGCCCGCCTCTCCCCACAGATGCAGGTGCTCCTGGCTGAGGTCCAGAACTCAGAGCAGCTGCTCCGGACCCTGCAGGGGACTGTGAGCCAGGCCCAGGAGCGAGTTCAGCTGCAGATGGTGAGGGCACGGGGCCTGGAGCAGGAGGGAGAAGAGCGCGTGATGGGAATTGGTTGAGGGGGGCATGTGGAAGGTTGAGGCACCTGTCCTACCCCCAGCTGCTCGGGCTGCACCTGGAGTTGGTGCCAACTGGGTAAAAGGGTTTCTAGGGTACACCTGGCCCTGAGCAGGGGCTGTGCCAGACGGAGTCCACCATGCTCTGTGACCTTGAGCTCATCCCACAAGCTGGGAGCCGTCTTGAAATGGAGATAATGGGCCGTCGCTTGCAGAGTCATGAGGGTTAGAAGCAAAGATTGCAAAATCAGAGACTCCCCAAGACCAGACGAGAGATGTAGATGATTGAACGGAGCCGGGTATGAGGCAGGAAGGAGCAGCGAGGCGAACTGGGAGACCGGGACACTGCGCACAGGGGCGGCCCCTCCTCTCCGCTGACCATTGACCACAGCCATGTGGGAAGGCGATGCCGCCAGGTGTTCTGATTGGTCAAGAGAAGCCAAAAGGCTGGATATTTGTGTGGAGTCTCCTGATTTTCATTTAGCAACTAATTTAAGGTTTGAAAAAAATATAAGGACCAAATAATACATTCGGTGTGGCCTGTGGCTGCCACTGTGTGACTTCCGTTGTGACTGAGGAGGGTGAATAAAGAGCTGTGAAATAAAGGGTGTTCCTTTATTAGGAGAAAGAGGAGGAAGGCATGGACTTTCTGGCTGGGAGCCATGTCCGGAGGAGGATTCTGGGGTTGGCCCCACAGAGGACGGGGGACATCTTGCGCCCCTCATGGCCTCATACTGACTGTTCGTCCGCAGGCAGAGCTGGCCACCTCCCACAAGTGCCTGAGCCACGAAGTGAAGCGGCTGACTGAGGAAAACCAAGGGCTCCGGGCCGAGCAGCTGCCCTGTCCAGCCTCCTGGGGTCTGGAGCAGGAGGAGGAGTCGCTGCCCAGCTCCATCTCGGTAAGGGGAGCATGGTCAGCAAGAGCCGGGGGCCACCCCATCGGCCCTTCCTCTCCACGCACAGCACAGCACTGGCCGCGTCGTCAACTTGGCCAACTCACTTGGCTTTTCTGAGACTCAGTTTCCTCATGTGAAAGATGGGACCACACTCCCTTCCCACCATTGGCATGAATAGAAAATGAGTTAACCGAGTGTCTGATGTGAGAGCAGCAGTAATTTGGTGCATGTTTAAGTGACATGAGATCCACAAAACTGAATTCATTATCATCTTTGGTTCTTAACAACCTCTCATCATGGATCTGAGCATGGCCACTGTTGATGGCATTTATTCATCATATAATGTATTAATTTATTAAAAATAGGAGGATCCCCTGGAACCCTTGCCCACCCTGAAAATACCACTTACATCTCCATATGTGCCCCCACATGCCTTGGCTCTGTTTCCGTCGGCCTGAATTTGACCATCCCCTTGCTGGTTTTTTTGGCGTTTTATGACATGTATGTGTCTGGCTAAACAATGGAGGGCTGACTTCAGTTGTTTCTGCGCTTTAGGAAAGGGTGTCTTGCTGTAGGTAATCTGGGGCTTTGCACCATTCAGAGGGTCTCCACCCTGGGGGGCCGGGGAGAGCTGCTTGTCGTCCACCCATCCCTGCTGGACCAGTGTACTTGTCTGCTCTCCCCACCATGGCATTTTGATTGTTTACCCCCTTTAACAGTTTCTTTCCTCCCTTCCGCTCCCTTCCCCCCCAGTCCCCATCTCACTGGGTGGCCCCTGTGGCCTCTGCCCCGCCTGCCCCACGCCCAGAAGGTGACTTGGGTCCCTTCCAGGAGCTGCAGAAGCTGGTGCATCGCACGCGGCAGGAGGCGCGAGCCCATCAGCAGGCCCGGGAGCATGAGGCCGAGCGCCTTCGGATTGAGATTGTGACCCTGCGGGAGGCGCTGGAGGAGGAAACGGCGGCCAGGGCCAGCCTAGAGGGGCAGCTGAGGGGGCAGCGGGAGGAGACAGGTGAGAGGAGGGAGGAGCCACCCCACCCCGCCCCCAGGGAGGGCGACCTCCTCCCAGGGCACTGCCTGGGCACCGGGATGGGAGAGAGGACGCAGTGTGACAATGACCTTGACCTCTCATCTTTCCTTTCCACACAGAGGTGTTAGAGGGTGAGTAGGGGCTGAGGCTGGAGGGGCTGGGGCAGGGGAAGAAGGAGGGAGGGCGGGGGCCTGACATCTCGCCTGCCTGATTTCTAGCCTCCCTGTGCAGCCTGAGGACAGAGATGGAGCGGGTCCAGCAGGCACAGAGCAAGGTGAGGCAGAAGTCAGGCCAGACTGGGATGGAGTGGGTGGGGTGGCACAGTGGACGAGACCCTCACCGGCCCCTCCTGCCCTTTGTGTCTGCCTCAGCCGGGCGGCAGGAAGCCTTGAGGCAGCCCCCAGGCTCAGGGCCCCACAGAAGGGGTCTGAGGCAGGGCTTGTGTGGAGGGGCTGCCCTTCCATTCAGCAACACACCCTGCCATCTGGCCCAAGACCCCAGCTGGTTCTGCCCCCACCAGGCGCAGCTCACAGACCTCCTCTCAGAACAGAAGGCAAAAGTGTTGCGGCTACAGGCTGAGCTGGAGACCAGTGAGCAGGTGCAGAGGGATTTTGTTCGGCTCTCCCAGGCCCTGCAGGTATGGCAAGTCCCCTCCCACCAAGCTGCCATGACTCCAGGCGACTTGTCCCGGTTGTGCAAGGGCAGTCCCCCGACTAGGGGAGCCTTCCTCCTTCGGGGGCCGCATGGCCCTTTCCTCTGAGCTGCTGCTCAAAAACGTTAAAGCTCTGCATCTGTCGCTCACAGTAAGCCCCTCGCCCAGGGCCTGGCACCTGTCCCACCCCATGCTTCCTCAGGCTGTCTCCCCAGGACCATTTCTTCCCTCAAACTTGGTTTCACCATGATTGGGGGACATGGGGCCCCTGGGAACACCAGTCCTGGGCCCTTTGCCCCTTGGAGGGCTGGCTGAGGGGTGGGGCCGCATTTCCCCACCCAGCGCCCTCTGCTTCCCTCCCTGGACTCCATAGGTGCGCCTGGAACGGGTCCGCCAGGCAGAGAGTCTGGAGCAAGTGCGCAGCATCATGGACGAGGCGCCCCTGAGGGACATCAGGGACATCAAAGACACCTGAGGGGCCAGAGCCCACCCACCCTGGGGAGACCGCCTTTCTCCATTGCAGAGCCATGAGGCTGAGGCTTTGGGGGTCTCAGGATGGAGTCTTCTCCCTCTCCAAGTCTGGGGTTCAGGGGACAGGGCCTCCTGCTCCCAAGGACAACACTGGGTGAAGATCCCAACTCCCTCCTGGAACCAAAGGTGGAGGCTAAGCCCTGCAGCTTTCTGGCTGCTATGCTGCCTCCTGGGTCCCGGCCCCCCAGCCTGTCCCCTGTCCATGTCTCCGAGGCACAGCCTAGCTGGGCGTGGTGGCTGGGGGCCTCCTTCCACACGCGTGCCCTGGACAGGCAGCTGCTTTCTGGACCGCATGACACTAAGATGCTTGTCCCCAGGGGCCCCAAGATGGGCGTGGAGGCAAGGCCAGACTTTTCTGTCATTTATTTTCAATAAATAAGCAGCTCAGCTCAGTCGGTCGCCTTGTCCCTGCAAGCCCCACGGGGTTGGGAACGGGGAGGTTTTACAAAGGAAAAAGAGAGGGTGGGTTGCTGAATAGGGGGACAAAGAGTGAAGGGGACCATGTGTTTATAAACAAGAATGTCAAGGGGAGGGGACGTGGGGTCTGTGCCACAGCTCTGGCTGAAGATGCATCACTATCAGGGTGGGGAAGAAAGGGGCAAAAGGACTGGTTACTTCCTTCTTTCATCTTCTGGATCTGGAAGGAGAAAGGGAAGGGATGAAGGGAAGGCAGGAGAGAAAAGGAAGAGCCCTTCTCAGGCTCCCTGCGCGCGCCGCCCCCCCCCCAGCCGACTCACCTGGAGAGTCGCACTGACCGCTCCCATACTCACCTGTGTCCCCACACCCCACTCTTCCCAACCCCTGCAGCCCCAGCAGCAGAGAGCGCAGCGCCAGCCAGCGCAACGCAGCGCAGCCCAGCGCAGCAGATGGTGGTGCCTGGAGGCTAGGGCAGTGCCAACACCCGGAGTAAGGGCAGCAGCCCCCACCCCCTGCTTGGAAGCGCAGCAGTGGCGGTGGCAGCAGTGGCTCCAGGTGGAGCTGCGAGCGCAAGTGACCTCAGGGATGGAGGGGTGGGGCACAGCAGCTTGGGGGCAAGGGCAAGAAGGGGGCGCGATACCTGTGACACGGTTCAAAGAGATGGAGGAGAGGGAAACGGGTTATCCTATGGCCAGAGAGGACAGAGAGACACAGTTAACTGAAGGAGGGGGGTGGGCGTGGAGGGCTAAGAGGGCTGAGAAAGGTGGGGTGCCAGGGAGAGAGTCTGCACCAGGCGTGCAGGGGTGGGGAGGAGGAAGGGGAGGAATGGCCCAGTTGCACCTTCCTGGCAGACAGTGGTCTTGCCAGTACCCAGAAGACGCACCCGCCTGAAAAGGAAGAGGGTGGGGCAGGCGCCTTCGCAGCGCAGAGGGAGGGGCGGTGCTCAGGGCCCAGGGGCTGACGAGGCTCAGAGCCAGAGCCGCTTACCCTCCAGGTAGTTCCGAGCAACGAACTTGAGGAGCTCATCGAGCCCAATGACTGGCAACGAGATCTTGAGAACCATGAGCCACTGGGTGAGGTCCAGGGCCCGGAGCTTGAAGATCATCTGGGAAGGGGGGTCAGAAGCCTGAGGACAGGTGCCCCCAGGGCCCCCCCTCTGCCCCCACTGGGCCCTCCCCTCCTCCCTTTGTCAGCGCTTCTAGTTGGAGGCTGCACCAGGGTGGGGGACAGGTGGCCCTGGCCGGAAGAAGAAGGCTCACCGGCAGAGGGTCGACATACAGGATGAGGAAGTGGAGGGACATGGAGAGGCAGATGGAGCCCAGCAGCCAGATGTTCACCCACGGCGGCATCCGGACCAGGGACTGGTTCTCAGACAGGCTGCAAGGGGGCGGCCGGGCGGAGGTGAGGGCAGGAGACACAGTGGGAAAGAGTGGTGAGGAGGGAGAAGAGGCGCGAGCTTGGGGTGGGGGCGGGGGGCAGCAG